TCTCATAAGACAGATACTGCACTTGTTATTGTCACATGAGAAGCAGTGGGAAAAACCCTGAGCAGGATCATGGAAGTTTTTATTTCTCCTTTCAGCCTACTAAATAGTCTTCTTCAACAATCAGGAATGTATGTTGCTTCTAAACCCTAACAAATCCATCACTGCTAGAATACAAGGAAAACAGTGTTATAGATTGTCTGTTGTTGTTGCTCTTGTTGGTTGGTTGATTTGGGGTTGTTTTATTTATTTATTTATTTATTTATTTATTTATTTATTTATTTATTTATTTATTTATTTATTTATTTATTTATTTATTTTGGTGGAACCGGGGATTGAACTCAGGCCCTTGCGCTTGCCAGGGAAGTGCTTATTCCATTGAGCCATCTCCCCGGCCCCTTGGGGCTGTTTTAATGTTCAGGTATGTTAATATTTTACTATTGCTGATGCTATTTTCTTTTTTTTTCTCATTTTTTAAATTTGTGGTTTTGGTACTAGCTATTAGCACCACAGGCATTATACCACTGACCTACATACACGGTGATTTCATTTTCTTCTCTCTCCTTTCCTTTCCTTTTTTTTTCTTTTCTTATATTTAGGTAGAGTCTCAATAGTTTATCCAAGCTGATTTTCAATTTAAGATTAATCTGTCACAGCTTCCCCTGTAACTGGAATTACAGGTGGTAAAATTATTTAAAATGTAGGAAACCTCACAGCAACTTGTAAATTATTTTACATGCATGTAGAATGAGAGGTGTGGAGCTGGATGGTTTCTTTTTATACACAGGAAGTTATTTCTTTTGACTTTCAGGTGTCAGAACGGCTCATGAGTGTGTATGTCAACAAAGACCTTGGTACCAAATATGCACTGGCAGAAAAGTGTCATGAAGATGACTAAGAATTTTCACCTGAAACTTACTGAGTGCCCAGAAGCAGTGGTTCTGATGCACACGGGTGAAATGCATCATTTTAAACATTTTATTTAACAATCTGAGATAGAATGCCGAAAACTGCTTCTTGGGCCCTCTGTTTTACAACGTTTTAGTGTATAGTATACAGAACAAATCATGTATGAAACAGTCCATACTTCTAAAATGTTCACATTTAGAAACTATCAAATGGAATTTGTTTTGGAAGTAGTAAAAAACCAACCAAACACCTCAGTGTGATAATTAAGGTCCTTTCTCCAAAGGAAACCCCATTCCAGCCTTCGCTTCCTTCTTACATCATTAAAAGCAGCATTTGCCAAAAGCACCTTTCTGCCTACATCTGAGGATTTCATTGTATGTTCTTTCTCTGGTCTTTTGAAATCTTTCTTTTTTATTATTTATTTGTTTATTTTAAATTTAGTGTTATTTTTTAAAAATGTATTTGGGACAGGGTCTCACTACACAGCTTGGACTTATTGTGATCCTCTTTTCTTTAGCCTCCCTAGAGCTGGAATTACAGGTGTGTGCCACCAGGCCTGGACTGGGTGGCCAGCTCAGCATGTCTGAGGGTGTGGCCAGCAGGGCATGTCATGCTGGGGATGAACCCTTGTCACTAAGCTTGCCTAAGCAGGTGCTTAGTCTGCTGAACTATTTTGCCAGCCCTGAAATCTTTCAAGATTCCATCTCAAACTGTGTATTTCTTTTCTGGACAACAAATCCATGCTCTGCATCTCTTTTTATTTTATTATTTTCCCCTTGTTTTGTATCTTTTCTTATCGTCTTTCTCTCTCACTGACCCAGGTAGTTTCTTTGGGCCTGGCCTTCATGGAAATTCTCACAATTGTCCTTTTCCTTGAGTACCTGCCTGGGTACCGTTCAGACCTTGGCCCTGGCATCCCCATGTGTATTTTTATCCAGTTCCACCACAGAACTCCCCAATATGGGAATAGTCCATTTTGAAGGGCACCACAGTAGAAGTGGAAATCTAGAGCAGAGAGGCTATGGGTGTTGAAGCGTCTTGGCAGAGTTGCAGCTTTATATCCTCACCTAGGTTTTATTTTTCTCATTTTCTGTTGAAACAAAGTACACTTAAGACATCTCCTATTATATTCTCTGTCCCCGTGGTCCTTAACAGTCACTGTTAGAAGAGAAGGGGCCCAGAGCATGGGCAATCAGTAAACCTCAGGGGGCAGGTGAAGAAACACTTCTGTGGAGAGAAAACTATCTCTGTAAGGTCACATCTCTGCTCAAGGTTCAAGCCATGACTGAAAGTAGGTGTCCAGATTTCCAGTTCAAGACCTTCCTCCCATCTTCTAAAGTATTTTGTCTCCACTAGGAAATTGATTTAGTAGGGAAGGGAGTACCTACTGCCAGAAGCATCTAAATTGATCCCTCCTTACCTGACTTGATCAGAGAAGGGACAACAGTGATTGCAGACTCAAAGGATGGAGAGGATCCTGGAGTACTTATGGATAGCTCGATTCAAAAAGAATATGTATTTGATGGGTATAGCACTGATCACTGTCCACAGGTGATGATTGAGGCTTCCCTTCCATCAGGTGTGAAGGTGCATGTAGGAGATAAGCCCATGATTTCTCTGGAAGGATGGACCAAGAAGCCAATGCAGCTGAATCTGGGAGAGCAGGAAAAAGGGTAGTTGGGAAGTTGGGGAGTGTGAAGCAGGCACTGGTATTGAATAACCTGTAGTACCTTGATGATTTTTCTGTCTTGTGAATCTATGATTTTAGAAGCCTGAAAGTGGAAGCTCAAGGCCCAGGTCCTGATCAGATAGTTCTTAGCCCAAGCAAGTTCATGATATCCTCTGTCTCCTAAATTGTGATTGGGCTGAATAACTTAACCTGCTGCCAAAGAACACTGAAGAACTACCAGAAAATGTCACTTGCTAGAGGAAACCATCCCAATGTCCACCACATGATGGATAAGTACAGAAAGAAATGTATTCTACCATGCAACAAGACATAATGCAGTCATGAGAAACTGTGGAAGACTCATTCTACAGTATGTGTTTGAAGCCTGAACACAGTCTGTGGAGCAGAAAAAGCCATAGGTGTAAGGTCCCATGTTGTGTGGCCAAGGTGCAGAGAGGTTAGTGCTTGGGACTGCCAGTGGGTGACATGTGTTTCACCTTGAGACCATCAAAATGCTACAAGCCCATAGAGGACTGACTGACACTTGATTGTCCTTTCAAGGGGTGGGTTTTCTAAGGAGAGTTCTAGGGAAGTGGCTTATTTTTAAAATATAAATTACTAATGTTCCATGGAAAGGGCCTCTATGCTTAACCTCTGTTTTCTTCACCCCATTCTTTTGCTTCCCCCTCTACCATGCTCCCAACTCACAGCACACTCTCATCACCACATCCACTAGCCCTGCCTTCTATCCCTGCCACTAAGGCTTTAAGTCTCTAGGGAATCACATCTGGTAGTTGTGTGCTTGGATGCTAAAGGTGCCTGAGAATGTCCTTGTGAGCACTTCTCTCTGGAAATGCAGACACCAGAAGCCAGTTCTTATGCACTGTGAGGACCAAGGGTGCCAGAATATGCTACATACTGGATCCAAGGACAAGGACCTAGAGGGCACCTTGAGCTCATGTTCAGTTCCTACACAAGTTTAAGAATGCCTGCCTTTCACCTCTGGATGCCATACTGTGAATCCAGGTTGGACGTCTACCACCAGAAGCTCTCCTACTCTGTAGATGTTCCAGTGGGTCAGGGAGCCACAACTGAGGCCTTGCTGCCTGTACATGCAGCAGGACTCTACCCTAGTGCTGAATGCCTGGCCTCTAAATGGTACAGAGATACTAGGCTCCAGGGTTGGAAAGTTAACTGTAGCCATGCCCCTCTGGTGGCCTAGTGCATGGCTGCTGTGGAGGTGGTGACTGTGTTGCCAGCTGGGTCTCATGCTGTTGACACTCACTTGCACAAGCATGACATTCCCTGCTGACCCAGGACCACTGTGGACACCAACCAGTAGCCTGAGCACTTCCCCAGTGTTTGGGAGTCACCTTTCCAACTAGATTCTTCTTCTTTTTTCAACTAGATTCTTAAGTGGCCTGAATTCTACCCTGATTGATGACCAAGTCTCAGAAAGTGACATGAGGCCTTAGTTGGCACCTCAGAGTTGTATTTATTCCCTTTAAAGTTTGGTCTTACCCTCCTGGGACCTCTGTGTACTGTGCTGTGACACTCAGATTGGGTACCGGACTAATAATTCTCCTCTACTCTGTGAGGACTTCTGGGGAGCACAGGACCAAAGCTGAGGACTTAACGCTTGTACACTAAGCGGAAACCCAGCCTATGGGTGGACCTCACCCGTAAAGGGGCAGTGATACTGATTTTATGTGTTTGAAAGTTAAATGGAGTCATGCACCTCTGCTGCCCTGCCACACGGATGTCGTGGAGGAGGTGATTTCTATTCCAGGACATGTTCTGGCTGAACCTTGTGCTACAAATCCTTACTTGGCTAGCTGGCACCATATTCACTACACCAGATTGGTGTGAACCCTGGCCAGTCCCCTGCTAACGTCTCCAGCTATAATTTTAGGCCACCCACATCTGGTGGAGATATGTCATGAATGCAAGTTCCTATCATGCATCAGAGATGGTTTGCCTTTCCTCTGGGCAACCCACACACATCATGTGCCATCTTGCACCCTGTCTAAACTGTACTATTTCATCCTGGCCTAAGATTCTGTCTTCTGCCTTTTTAATGCTTCCTGATCCTGCTTCGAAACCTGCACAATCTCAATTTTTTGGATGTCTTATTTAATCTCTTTCCTCTGTTCTGATTCTGTGATCCCAAGTTCTCCCACTCAATTCTAAATTTCTTTCTGATGCAGCGTTTGATTGCCACCTGTAAGAAAGAAAAGCACAGTGAACAGCATCTCAGAAATCAAAAGGATGCTTTATTTACTATCAGTCGCTTCTATACTTCTGTTACTCCATAAATGGTTTATGTGCTTATATTAATCTTCCAATGATGTGTAATAATCAGCATGTGTCTACTTATCTCTGCATAACTATGGCAGCCACAGTCATAGGACAATGCTACTGGCTCTCACCATGTATACCTGTAGTACTGGGCAACTTCCCTCTCTATCTTCCTCTGCCTGACAAACTGCAGTTTCCACAAGGAGGTGAAGTTGGCAGCCAGTTCCCACTCATGCTGAGCCTGCCTCTTGAGGGTTTCTCGTTCTGACTTCTGTTCTTCTGTGATGGGTATGGACACCACAGGCTCAGGCACATTGGGTTCCCTCCAGGGAATGGGATGGCGGCTGAAGTCTTGGAGGGAAAATGTGTGTTGCTGCTGAAGCAGGGGCCTGTGCTTGGTCACAGCAGAGAAATGGGCTTCCTTCTGAGAGAGGCAGAAGGGGCTACTTCCTGAGGAGCAGGCTTACACCCTGAAGGCTGAAGAAGCCCAGGCTGGGTGGAGGAGGTCAAGCAGGGTTTGCTGGCATTGTAGGGCACTGGCTAAGTGGGTTTGCCAGGACACATCAGAGGGCTGTTGGCAGCAGCTGACTGGGATGACTGAGCTGTGCTAGTGGCTGCAGATTGGGCATGGTGAGCTGTGGTGGGTTTGTGTGAAGCAAGAGACTGTGGCCTTTAAAAATCAGGCCTTGTTTGAGGCTTTTCTGGGCTGGGAAAGCACAAAGGTGTTAGCTTCACTTTCCCAGGTGGTGGGAGTTCACTCAGGGATGCAGATGGATCCTTTGTTTCAGTGCTGGTGTGTCCTTTCTTGGAGTTTTCTTGAGCACTCTCAGGCCCCTTTCCCCGATGTGTGGGGCCCACTTCCATGGTTGAGATTTTAGCAATGACTTAAGGTCTTTGCAGCTGGTTGATGTTCTCAGGGGCCCATATGTAAAGTTCCCAGCTCTCTTATCAGTTGTCCTTCCTACTGGGTGGAAAGCCAGAACAGTATGTGTATGCCTAGGAAGATGTGAGGCATTTTAGAGGACTCTTGATGTACAGGCTGTAATCTCTTGAGATTCCAGTTGAAAATGTTTGGCTTTTCTACTTTCTTTAGAGTGGGCCTCATCTGTTTTTTCTCTGCAGTTTTCTTGCTTTTGTTTTTTCTGATCACCTTGGCCTTAATTTGCCCACATCTCTTAGCTTGTCTCATCCTGCTAGGTGCTGCTGTTGGGGTTTTGCTGTTCCTCAGCTCAGCTATGGTCATGGGTGTCCTGTCTCTGGCCTCTGCACTGCAAATGACCTTTTCTTCCCTGGACAGGATCTCAGGGAGCTTTAGCTGGGTTTTAGCCTCAGGAGCTCTAGTGATTGGCCTGGAGACTTTGTGTTTGCTCTTCCTTACTTGAGGTGAGGGACCCTTTGCATGCCTGAGTTCTTCTGAACCTTATTCATCTTGATAAATCCAGTGTTTTGGGTTTTGATGGCTACTGGATGCTTGAGCTGGTCAAAATTGTCAAAGAAATGAAATATTTGTGGAAGTTGAACATCATCCATGATGGCTGCGATATCTGCCTACCCTGGTTATACTCAATCCCTTTCTTCAGAGTCCCTCAGTCCTGGAAACTAGGGCTGTACTTTCCCAATGAGGACTTCTTTAGAATGAGGCTTTGCTTGGCTTAGAGGCTCCATAGAGTCTGGAAGCTCAAAAGTGGTCAGGGATCACTAAGGAGAGTAGAAGTGGCTCTTGGTTGCCGATGAGAATCTGGTGGGAATCTAGAGACTTTGAAAGCATGCTTCTTATCTTATCCTGGTTCTTCTCCAGTTGTTCTTGGCTTGTGTCTAAGGCCAAGAGGTGAGTGGAAGTCTGCATGGGAGCACTCCTTGAAATGTCCCCAATCTCAGCTGCTGAGATGTTCTCTAGCAAGTGGGTACCTCTGCTGTTGCAGGACTCGAGGAATTCCAAAGTTTGTGGTGCATATGGTGCCTGCCTCAGGGCTTGTCACCCCTGCAGTATCTGTCTCTAGGGAGGTTTTGTTCACTGCAAAGGAATCAGGGAAGCATCAGTCACTGCTCAGCAAGTTGCTCCACTTCACTCCAGCACCATCATCAGGAGCCTAGTAACAGACAGCAAGGCCTTTCCACCAGCTCCTCTTAAGGACTTTGGTTATGACCCCACTTTAGTAGCTAGTAACTGTTTGACTTTATCTCCTGTCTTTTTTAGGTAGCTCTTCTTTCAGTTACTAGGATTTTTTTTTATTCAAAGGAAATGTGATTTTAAGAAGTGAACATGATTTGGACACAGTGGTAGAACACTGTTTACTATGCACCTGTGCTCCATGCGGTGCAAGGCACACTGTAAACACACACTGTACACACACACACACACACATACACACACACACAGGTTGCTCCTATTGAATCCATTCAATGCTGTCTGCTCTCTTGCCAGTAGAAGAATTCTTCCTACCATGGAGAAGGAGAAAAGCAGGTCCTCCTCACATAAACTGTGAGCAAGATAGATTGCAAGCCTGATGCTTTTAGGCATTGTAATGGTTGATATATTGTGCCAACTTCAGTTCTACATCCTAAGGTATAAAGGGTATGTCTTGAGGTGGCTGTTTGTGCTCCAGGATGCTGTAATGGTTGATTCATTATAAGAAATTTAAAATTTCAACTAACTGATGCAGCAGAGGGCCAGGGTCCTCATTTTTAAACACCCTCAGGATTTGCAAGAGGAGGGAATGGAGATGCTGTGAATGACACACTCACCCAAGGTTAGGTAGCCTGCACACAAAATAAGGGAGGTAAAGAGGCTCATTCTCCTCTTTTCTTGCTCTGTTTCTTTTGCTGTCTTTTTTTTTTCTTTTTACAATGTATAACATTATTTTTTATTTTAAAGACAAAAACACATAAACAAACAATGAAACTGAGATTCAAAACAGATTAGTAGGACAATGACCATAGTTGATACATTGCATATTGTCTGCATATCAGATAATCAAAGTACAAAATATAGGAATGATGTCTTGTCTAAACACTATTATTAGTATAAAACATCCTTTTCAAGGAACTAAGAGAAGCTAGCTGTATAACTAAGATAGTTATCTTGCAGATGCACATTCTTTTTTTTCTTTTTCCCTTTCTTTCCCCTTTCCCTCATCACAATTTGTTTTTTCTTTTGAACAGTTTTTTCCTAGTTCATAATATCTATTGTACATTTTGGATCCTATTATTCATCTTCTTACACTATTAATGTGCAATGTTGATCCATATGGATCCGCTTTATTTCAGTTATGAGTATGGTCTTTAGTTGTATCCATTAACCTACAAAAGTCTCCAGTTTATTCTTCTTTATGGCTGAGTAGTATTTCATGATATAAAATAACACATCTTTTTATCCTTTCCAAGATTGATGGGCATTTGGATTGTTTCTAAGATTTAGCTCCTACAAATTGTTCTGCTGTAAACATGGGTGCACATATATTACTGTTGTATGATGTTTTTAATTCTTTTGGGAAGATATACAAAAGGGGAATAGCTGGTTTGAATGGGATCCCTATCCTAGTTTTTGAAGGAATCTTCACATTGATTTCTACAGTGGTTGCATCAGTCTATATTCTCACCGATAGTGGGGAAGGGTTTCTTTCTCTCTAGAGCCTCTCCAGCATTTGTTTTTTGCCACCTTGAACTGTTACCCCTCATTCTATCACCCGGTCTTGAAGCCAGCTGATTACTGACTGTAAGATAAATAAACATTTCCTTCCTTAATTACGGACATCAGGTATTTTGTCTCAGTAAGGAAAGAAAAGGAACTACAACAGAAAACCAACACAGACAGGATATCTGAACGCTGGGTCTTAAATGCTGGTAAGTGAAGGAAAATTTAACTGTCCTTACTACCATAAGTTTGAAGTGCCTTCCAAGGAGTCTATAAAAGTAGAAGGGTGGGCCTGGGGAGATGGCTCAGTGGAATAAGCTCTTCCCTGGCAAGCGCAAGGGCCTGAGTTCAATCCCTGGTTCCACCAAAAAACAAAATAAAACACACAAACAAAAAAAAGTAGAAGGGTGAATAGAACTGGATACAGAGGGGTGGTATGAGGGAAATTTTAAAAGTTTAAAAAATCAACAATAGTCTGACTATATTAGGACAAAATAACATCATGCAGCCCACAATGTCGGTCATCACTCAACCTTGATTGATTATACTAGATACAGCCTGACCCAGCTCAATCTGACTGCATTGAACTACCCAGCCTGTACTTTCTAGCAGTGAGAGATGAACAACACTGTTACTCACTTCAAAGACTTTCTGCCCAGCAATGAGAGATAACCAATACTGCTCAATAGAAATTCACCCAATGTTCAAGCTATTGCATCTCCTGCCTGCAAAACCTATATGAACTAAGCCCAAAGCCAGCTCTGTATTGATAGCTTGGGAGTGACATTTCCTCCCCCAAATCAGGCTACTAGTACAATAAACTTGATTACATTCCAACTCCTTTGTGCAGAACATTCTCCATTTGGTTTGGTTGAAGGTTCTGTAACAGTGGGACAGAGGGACTCATCTACAAGTGCTCTGAAAAGTAGGGCCTGTCTCAGTGGGCTCCCTTGAGCCTGTGTGTCTTCATTGCTTTAGAGGTGGTCAATTTGTGATATGCTTCCCTTCTTACAGAGACTTTGCGTGGAGTAGTTGAGCAAAAGTAGTGGGTGAAGTCTCAGAACTAAAATTCTATGGATCTGTGTATTCATCACTACGCAGGTGCAGATTCAGCCCCCTTCAGAATGCTAACCTGATTCCTTTCCCTTCTTTCTCTAAGTACTGACTGCAGAAACTTGTTTCTGTGCTGGCTTCAGCTATCGCCAAGTAGTGTACGGCAAAAGTGGAGGCCGGCGCTATGACATTTGTGGGTCCGATCTCCTTTAGCACAACCACTAATTCTGGTTAAGGGCAGAGGCTCTGTTCCCTCTGTAGGATGCACAGCCAAAGGGCTGCATGCAGAGGCCCAGCTGCATGCTCCTGACTGTTGTAGAAAACCTGGCTTCCTTGCCAGTAGGCAAGTTGCAATCTGTGCCCCTTATTTGGAATGTTCAGTGGTGGTATCCCCTGAATCAGGCTGGTGGATGGCTATGGGATCTTGGCATTGGGATGAGCTGTCACAGCTCTGAAAGTAAGTCCCATGTCCTGGACAGTGATAGCAACTGTGAAGGCCTCAAGTGAGGGAGACCTGCTTCCTGTATTTCTGAGAGATTCCACCAGCCAGTACTTAGATAGGAGGTAGCTGAAGTGGACATCTGGGTTGGGTCAGTAGCCCCTAAGTACCTACTTGCACCAAAGTGTTGGAAAATGTAGTAACTAGCCATTATTGGGTGGAAGTAGGTGACAGAAGATGAGGGTGGTAGCCATGCTGAATCGATGTCTGGAGCCAGCACTCTAGAGGAATTGCAGGTACTTCCTGGTAAGGAAACAGCTTTGCTCTCCAGGAGAAGTGAGAGCTGCCAGGAACTGGAAGTTCCAAAAGATGGCACATTGAAGACGTTTTTGGCAGGAAGCAAGGGGGGGGGCATGAAAACATAGGTGACAGTGATGAATTTTCACTGTATTTCAGTACCTGAATTACCTATCTAAAGACCTTTTTGATCAAGAAGGCTGTGAGATGCCAGTATTTGGTGAGATGCCAGAAATCACATATTTTCTGGTTGTCTTTAAGTATAGAATTGGTTTGAAATTCTTCTGAACTATCTACCTCCCACCTGGCTCAACAAAGACCCCAGGGGTCTCCTTCATGCACGCAGCAGACTTCTCTGGACCATGTGCCTCCCTTGAGCAGGCACTAGTGTGGACTCATGACCTTGAGGGGTGGATTTGAAACCTTTCATCGCTGAGATCCTTAGGGACCTTGTCACCTTGTCAGTTATGAACAAGGACACTGATATGCTAGAGGCCCCATGCCTTGTTCAAGCTCTTCCAAGGTTTACAATTGGGAGCAGGTTACACAGCCTGGACTCCCCATGAGGGCACTGTGTGCTGAGCACAGCCCTGAACTAGGAGGAAAGCAACTCTTCACCCAGACATTTTTGATACTGACTTGTAAGGGGACAGTATAACTCTTGCCATTGTTATCTTTGGTTTCTCATTTTTCAGGTGCTATTTCCCTGTCTCCCAGGTGTCATTGATAACCCAGGGTGGCCTATAAATTTCAAGACTCATTGTTTCCCTTCTTCAATCCTAGCTTCTGATCCTTAGTCACCATGACTACCTGAGAGGTGGTTTCTCAAAAAGTGATTGTGGGAGGCCAGGTGTGGTGGCCCATGTCTGTAATCCCAGCAACTGGGAGTCTGTGGCAGGAGGTTCACTATGAGCGTGAGATTAGCCTGCACTACATAGCAAGTCCAAGCCCACACTGAGTCCACAGTGAGACTCTGTCTAAAAAATGAAAATGAACAAACAAAAAACCTCAAAGGAATTGAATTTTGGAAAAAAATTTTTCTCTAAATTTATGATCTACAAGTTACTCATGTACAAAATGGTCATTCAAATTAGTACAGTGACAATTCCCCCGTGAGTGAAAGGGACATATGACACATGGTTTACATGGACAAAGACAGTAGAGGTGCTGGAAATGTAGAAAGTAAAACAAAAAATGTATATCATCACAGAATGAGAAGGCACATATCGGTAATAGTGAGAAGCAAGGTACAAGCATCAGTGCACATTTCATTTAGTAGTTGTTTAGCTAGCATGAAAGCATTTCTTCATTAGGAAGAAATGAAGTGCTATAAAAGTGCAACATCAGGAAAGCAAACATGATTTACACTACTGGAGGGAACTGGATAAGCCAAAAGCTCAATAAGCCACACTGGAGAGTGATTCTTAATGCAGTTATCTGGAATACCTTTAGACAGAGAAAACATTTCTGTGAAAAGTGTGTACAATTCTGAAACAGCCCTAAACACAAGCATTTGGGTGGCCACAATTTATGCACTGCAATGTTTTAGTTACTTTTCTCTCATTGTTCAGGCAAAATACCTGACACACAATGTTAAAGGAGGTTAAGTTTACTTAGCTCACAGTTTGTAAAGACTTAAGTCTTTACAAACTTAAGGAGAGATGGCTCAGTGGTCTAAGGCACCTACTTAGAACAAGCTTGGCAAAGCATCAGGGACCGCGGTTCAATCCCCCAGCACCACATGCCAGCCA